GAAGGATGCAGAGGAAGAAGAGGAGCTCCAGCCACCACAGTTTGGCTGCCTGATGCTTCAGGGCTGAGCAGAGCACAGAGCTGGAACCCCTTCAGTTCATGGGCAGAGGCTCACAAGCCTTAATTAAAGATTAATTAAACCCCTCAGAGCCCCACAGGCACAAAGGCAGGGAGAAATTTAGGAATACAAGGTGTTTGTCCTATAAGGGGGGGCAGTGCTGGAACCCTGAGAGAGGCAGAAACAGCAAATTCAGCAGCACCTCAACAAACCAAAAATCCCTTTGCTATTGTTTGCTGTTGTTCCCTGGCACACTGCATTTTTATTACCTTTGGAAGCTGGAATGTTCCTTGGCTCTAATAAAAATGCCTGAACCTTGGAAAGGCAGTAAAAGCAAACAGGCAATGGAGTCCCAGGCTCTGAGTGTACTGTGATGCATTTTCTAAGCAGAATATGCTCCTTGCTCTTTCTTGTTTGGTTTAATCCCTCTGAAACCATTTTTTTATTGCTTTTTGATTAAAAACTAACCCAAAACACTGCCTCAAAGCAAGGAAGATTCCCCAGTCCAAACTATAAAAGATGAGGTGGAACTAAAAGGCAAAGATGACTTTTTTTCCAGAGGATCTAAGATGGAATAGTTCACATGGTGGAAGTTTTTTGCACTGTAAATTCTTGGAGTAAAGATTTTTTATTTTTTTAAAGAATAAAGAGTTTATCTCATAATACTTTGATTCTGGGAGCTGGTATTTTAAGGTAAGTACCAAATAACTGCCAAAATATCCAGACATTCAGTAATTGTGGATCTCCAGTTTCTATGGAATGCTGGCCTAGACAATGAATTTCACCTTGTAACTCAAAAAAACCCCAATATTTATGCCTCATTTTGCTCCCCCATTCCCCTTCTGTTGTCTCATGGCCATGCTCAGAGTCTGCTGAGGGTTCTGGGATCTCATCTCCTCAGTTTTAGGCACAGCACAGATGACTCAAAGGACATCTGTGGGCTTGGGGAAGAGAACTCAGAGCACTGAGCCAGCGTGTCATCGTCAGATGAAAAATAATTTCAACAACACGTCCTGAAAAATGATCCCATCAGTTCCCCAGGGCTGCCACTAATGAATTCTAATTAGAAGCTGTCACTTCTTGTTATGGGAAGACAGGAATGCTTCAGCTCCCCCAGCCCTTAACCTTGGAGACACCGAGATGAGACTTGTCCCCAGGAATGGTTAAATTTTAGGGGCATTTCTGCTCCAGGAGGAAATTAATTGGGAATTTCTGTGTGGGGAAGGGCAGGCACCTCCAGGAGTGCTGGGTCTAAACCCATGCACATCCAGGTGCCCACTTGAGAACATTTTCAAACATTTGTGCCTGTCATTTCTCATCCTCTGGATTCCTGCCCCAAACTCCTCCCTTGCTCAGCCCATTCCCTCCCAGATCTGGGCTCTGGATTCCCAGAGTGGATTTCCCTACCAGGCAGATCCAAACCCCATGAAGGTTTTAGGGTGAGTGTCCATGTAGCAGCAGTGGGAGTTTGCACCATTTAATCAGTGCTTTGTCTCAGGCTCTTCTGCCTTCACTCAGAGCCAGGATGAACAAATACAAGAAGGAAATGAATTTTCTCGTGTTCAGGCTTGGTTGTTTATTAAATCTTATAAAAAGTACAGAGAGTTCAGCAGCACTTCCAGCTACCTGCTAGAAGGGAGGAAAATGGAGGAAGATCCAGCTTCTGCAAGGTCTCTTAAAACTAAACAGTCCAATAGAGAATTAACACCTATATTATTTATCCTTTTAACTCAATAACTAAATTCCCACTACCCTTGGTATGACACTGAGTGACCAACCAGAAACTTCTACCTGAAACCATGAAGAAGGAAGAAGAAGGAAGATGAACACCAAAAAAGACACCACCCAAAATCTTCCATATTATCCCATACCTATTCCTCAAAACCTCAAATTTAAAACCCTTCACCGTGTGAAATCACACAATTTATTTAACTACACACCCGTGATTTTAACTCCATCACTCAAATTTGGAGCCTTCTCCAAGGCCTCAGGTCCAAAGCAGTGTTCTCCAGGGAGTCAATGCCAGAAAGCACAGAAAGCTCAAAAACCCCCAGATTTCTGGGATCCAACATGTCCAGTGTCAAAGGCTTGTGGATGTTGCCCATTTATCTGCAGGTTTATAAAACTGCAACCCCCTAAACCATCCAGCCTCCCCTGTGCCTCCTCCCAGCACATTCCTTCCATCCATCTTTTTCAGCCACTTGGTTTCTTGACAGCATTTACATAACCTGGCTGAAAACCCTCCCACAGCAGATTAAATGCCTGCTATGGAATCCAAAGCTCTGATTAAAAGGCTGGAGCTTTCCAGGACTTGCACAGATGGTTAATATTCACTTGTTCTACAGGGGAGGAAGTGGCATTTTCTTTACAAGTACACATACCCCGAGCTTTCCCATGGGAATTGCTTGTTTTGTTCAGATTATTATTTTAAAGCTGTCATCAGATGTGATCACCCACTGGATTAGAGGCAGCAAAAGGAGATGATCAGATAATCCCTGAGGCACAAAGCATTTTGAGTTGGGTTTGAAGGGAGCTGTCACCTATGGTCAATTTGTTCAGCTCAGGGGTCTGTCCTCCTCTGTATCTTCCTAAAAATACTCGTGCAGACCTTTAGAGCTGTGGGATGTTGTGGGAATTTGCACGAGGAAGAATCCTCTGAATCACATAAATATTGGGAAAGCACAAGCATGAAGCAAAGCCTTTGGCTCTCACTGGCCCTAGATGTGGTGCAGAAATAAACCTGAGTTTATTGCAGGAGTAAAGTTATTTATTACAAAAAGTAACGCGCCTGCTCACAGAAATTGTGCCAATCAAATCTTTCTCAGATTTGAGAAACATTCCCTAATCCAGATTTTAAACTTTTTCAGAGTCCTCTCTGTCAAAAACCTCAAAAACTCCCTGTGTTTCTCAGGCAGGAATCAGCACATGAGGAAGTAATTAATGAGTGCAGGAGGGAAAAAAAAAAAAATAAAGAAGAATGTGCTGAATAGAGGCAAAATTGAGACTGAAACCCCTCATCCCTTGGGCTGCCTGCTCAGTCCTCAGGATGCAGACAAGACATTGCAGCTCCTGACAAACAGCCTGAAGAGATGCTGGAGAATTCAGCAAGCCCCAGGGCTGGGCATTGGTGTGAAGTTGCACAGTAAATCCTGTCTGGCACAGTGGAGTGTCTCGATCTGAATATTTGGGAATCAGGAACGAGGTCATCCCTGCTCCTACACACACACACAATCCATGGCAGACAAATGCTGCCATGGAACATGCCATCAGTGCTACTCTGCTTTTCAGAAAGAGCTGCAATAATCAGTTAATTCATTAAGGAAAGCCTGTAATGTTTAGTGGACCCAGAGCCAGCACCATCAGCCAAATCACCCCATTTCCAGCAGGCTGAGTCTCACCCAAGGTCTGGCAGAACAAATCCACCAAATCCACTTAAAATGCTTGGGGCGGGGGGGCGGGGAATGTGTGAAAAAAAATCCTACCATGAAAAAGTTACTTTGGATAAATCATAACCTCACAGGAACACTGTGCCTCAGTTTTCCTGACAAATGAGGGTGACAGAAGTGCCACTCAACTAATTCCCAGCAGTGCTGTAAAGCTCATTTGATTAACATTTATGAAACCACCACGCACGATTCTTAGAGGGGAATTGCTGCTGAAGAGCTCTTGTGGTTGTTGCTTATTCCCCAGGTGCCTGAAAGAGGGAACTTGGCAGAATCTCACCAGAATTATTCTTGTGAGCTCAGATAAAAGATGAGCCAACCTAAGAGTCAGGGTGTTGGTGCAGGGAAGATTCATTACAAACCTGGGGGTCTTAGATCTGAGCTCAGAACCCAGGCAAGGCTCCAGGAGCTTTGTCTGCTCCATGAGGTACAAAAAACATGGAATGGTTTGGGTTGGAAGGGACCTTTAAAGGTCACTTTGTGCATCGCACACCTGTGTGAAACCAGCTGGGCTCTGCCAGAAGAGAAGAGCCCACATGGAGGGAATGTCCAGAACATCTTGGAATCATCCCTGGAAGTGTCCAAGCCTGGGCTGGACAGGGCTTGGAGCAACCTGGGACAGTGGAAAGTGTCTCTGCCCATGGCAGAGTAATGGGATGAGCTTTAAGGTCCCTTCCAACACAAACCATTCAGGAAAAGCCAAATTCAGCTTTCTCCTCATGCCGCCCCCCTGCCTTTATCACCTCCTATTTTCCCGAGGAGAAACCACAGCTTTTAGCAGATTTTAGAGAACTCGTGTGAGGATGCTCTCCCGGTTCATCCATTCCCGTGTCCCTCATCCATCTCCCGTTAGCAACAGGTGCCGGCAGCTCGTTCGGAGCAGGGAAAGGAGGACACGGACCGGGAGGGTCCAGGTGATGCCGGGCGGGACCGGGGGCTCCCGGGGGTCGGCAGGACTCGGGACTGCCTTGTCCCATCTGTCCCCCCCGGTCCTCCTGTGTGCCCCCCGGTCCCCGCAGCCCCCGGGAGTCGGCAGGACTCGGGACTCTGTTGTCCCCGCGGTTGTCCCCGGTTGTCCCCCCCGGTCCCCGCAGCCCCTCCCGCAGCCGAGGGCGGACTCTCCGCCGCCGCAGCCCGGATGCCGCCGCCGCCGCCGCCGCCGCGTTCCTGGCCGCTCTCCCGGCCCCGGTGCCGCCGCTTCCTCCAGGAGCTGCCGGCGGGGGAAGCCGCGGGGAGGGGTCCCAAGGGCTTCTCCTCCTCTCGCCGGGTTATTTTTTCCGGTGCTTGCTCCAGCGGGGGAGGTGGGAAGAGCCAAAGGCGGCGGTACCCCCTTCCCACCCCCCCCTCTCCGCCGCAGCACATGGGAAGCAAAAGTTTTCCTCCTCCTCCTCCTTCTCCTGCTGCTGCTGCTGCTGCTCCTGCTCGGTGCCCTCCGCCCGCTGCCCTCGCCCCGCAGCTCCCCCGGGCCGCCCCCGAGGATGCGGCGGCTCCGCTCGGACACCGATGTCGCGATGGACAGCGAGGAATAAAACCCGGCAGGATCCTGGGCAGAGCTGGCAGGGAGAGAAGGGAAACCCGCGACCGCATCTTCCGGAGCCATCTGCGAGCCCGCGGAGAGAAGGAACTGCTGGGCTGAAATAATCCGATGCTTTAGCCAGGCAGCGCCGCATCCCCGCGCTCCGGCCCCGCCATGGGCACCGGGATGTGCTCCAGGCGGCAGAAGGGGCTGCTGCAGATCGCCTTCTGCCTGCTCACCCTGGCCTGCCTGGCCTCCGGAGTTTTCCTCTACAACCACTTGCAGCAGAAGGTGCGGAACGCCGAGGCGCTGGCGCAGAAATACAAGCAGCAGCAGGAAGCGCTGTCAGCGCAGCTCCAAGGTGAGTGACCCGCTCTGGACTCCCTGCCCCGACTTCTCTCCATCCCAGCCACCAGCACGGTGCCCTGGAGATGTTCAGAGCTTGGCTTTAAAGATGCTCTGGTTGTTTTCTTCCCTCCCGCCCCCCTCCTTGTTCGGATGTCAGGAATTAGAGCAGAATTTGAGTCTGAATTTACTGCTCGCAGCAAAGGGGGGATCGGGGCGTGTTGGACCGGTGAGCTCAGCTGCGTCACGTCTATTCCATTTCTTCTCCCTTTGGCCGTAAATCTGAATCCCTGTCACGCTAAATGTGAGGCAGTAAAAGGGCAGGGCAGGCTCTGGGATGCTCTCTGTGCCCCGTGTGGAAGTGAGCAGAGAGGGAAGGAATCTTTCACCCAAGTTTGTTGTCACAGTCTGCTGCTGTGATATCTCTGCGAGGCGATAAACCCACCTCAAGAGGTTGATCCGGGGCTAAAAAAGTCGTGCCAGCATTTTGGGGCTGATGGATGCTGCAGGTTTTTAACTCCCTAAAAAGAGGAGGAAGAGGAGGAGGAAGAGGAAGAATTGATTTTCTGCTCTCGCTGACCAGCACTTGGCTCCTCTGGCAAGAGCTGCCGGAGACCGGAAAGCGAGCACAGAGCGTGGATTCCTCCTCCCCTTCTCTCCCCTCATTTGTCCTCCTTACATAAATGCCTCGCTGTGGGAAAATGGGATTTTAGCCCACGGGAAGGCTGCGGACCCGCGGTTACTCCAGCGCTGAACTCTCCTCTCCTCTCGTCTGTCCAGCCGATCATTCCAGCCTGGCTGTGTGTGCCAAGGCGACGTTTCCAGCAGCTGGCGCAGGATTTGGAGCCTCTGGAGGGATTTGCTGAGCTCCCGTGGAGAGGTTGGGTGGGAATTCCCTGGGGGTAGCCAGCACTTGGGTCAGTGATGCTGTGTGTGCCTCTGGAGTGCCCACACAATGAATCCATGTGGCCAAAAATTGTTCTACTCAAGGCCAAGAGATTATTTAACCCTTCCCCCCCCCCAAAAAAAAAAAGTCAATTTAGAAGACAGTGCCCCCCCCAAAAAAAAAAAGTCAATTTAGAAGACAGTGTTTATATGGGAGCTCTCCCCCAGCTAAAATCAGATACAGGATGTCTGTCATAACCTTCCAGGGATGTTGTTCCTACAGCCTGAATGGCTGGGGCATCCTGCAGATCTGTGACTCAACATTAAATCTTTTAGGGTTTAATCTTCTCCCCGTGGTTCTGTGATGCAAATGGAGCATCCCAGCAGAGCTGCTGGTGCCCGGGGCTGTGTGTTCTGTTTGCAGAGTGTGGGGTGTGCGTGTTCCTCTCCAGGAAACAAAACCCAGCCAGCCTTGGGAATGGATCTAAAGTGTGCTCAGGTTTTCAGTGCTGTTATCTCACGCTTTAGGTCCATTTTTCCTCGCTCCACGAGGCAATCAAACACCTCCAGCTCAGTCCCAGCCACAGTTCTCACCTGCAATCCCGAGTTTGGGATGTGCAGAGATCAGCAGGGCAGAATTAACCCACATTCCTTGCTGGTGTGTCAGCATCTCTTGGAGACAGGGGCTGCTTCTCCAGTGGCAGCCTCAGGGAACCCCAGTTTTGGGAACAACACAGCAACAACTGAGCCAAGCTCATGGGTTTTTTTTCCCACCCAAATATGTGTGAATGGCAGAGCTGCAGCCTGTTGCTGGGATTTCTAACCCCCTGTCAGTCCTCCAGTTCCTAAATACAGTTGTTGCCATGGCTACCCTTTTTTTATTTTGAGAAGACACTCACTTGTCCAACAATTTTAACAAAGGCAAGGCTTCTTTTTGGGTTTGGCTGCTGGGAGAAGCCTGGCAAGGGGCAGATGGAGTGATGCTCGTGGGGGCCTGGCAGTGCAGAGGTGCCTGGCACATCTGGCCTGGCTCTGGGGCTGTGGCTGCTCCCTGCAGTGCTCTGGGGACAAACCTGGGGCTCTGGGCTCTGTCCCTGCACTTGTTGCATGATTTTCATTCCTGTGTCCTCTTCTGCACCTGGTCCTGCCTTTTCAGCAGGGGTTTCATTGTTCCAGCAGCTCCTTTGGCAGCAGGTGAGGGTGCCTTAGAGCCGAGTCCTGGCTGGATTCCAGCTGGATTTAGACGCTGACCACCCTCCATTCTCTCCTCTAAAAGCAAATTGTTCAAGACTTCCTGGCTCCCTGGCCTCTGAACTGTGTGGTTCCAGTTTGGTCAGATGTGTTGTTGCTGTGTCTCATCACAAAGATGAGTAAAGAATCACAGAATTTCAGATTGTCCTGAGCTGGAAGGGACCCCCTGGGATCATCAGAGTCCATCTCGTGGCCCTGAGCATCCCCAGGAGCTGAGACAAAGCTAAACCCACTTTCTCTGGGCTCTGGGGACCTGTAGGAAAGGCAGGAGAGATTAAAACTTTATTTTCTAGGCACTGGAGGTTACTTCAGTTTATCTGACTTACAAAAATGAGGTCGGGGAGAGCCAGATTTTGTGCTGTAAAATTCTGAATAAACACCTTGTGATCCAGAGCTGTCCCTGAAGCCTCCCCTGCTCTGGGATGGCCTCGTTAGGATCTGTGGCTGTGGCTGTTAACACAGCCCATTGCTGGTGGGAAGTTGCCATCACATCAAGGCCTTGCCCTCAGGAGCTCTGCTAGATCAGACTGCAAGAAATTCAGACGTGAGAGAGTCAGAAAGTGAATGCCCAGGGCTCCCAAATCCTCTGGGAAGTGCCTGATGTTCTCAAGCTGACAATTCCCTTGGACAAGGAGTGAAGGAGCACCCAGAGCCCTTGGTGTGCTCAGCTGGGGAAGCCCTCAGGGTGACATCTGAGCAGTCTGTTGGGAAAAGTGTTCCTAAAAATGAAGTTGTCACCACGGAGGAGACGCTTGGACAGCTGCAGAGATGAGTTTGCTGCTTAACAGGGGGAAACATCCAGGCTGAAACCACTGCTGGAATGGTTTGGACAATGTGGTTCAGAGGAAAGCCTGAGTGGAGTGGCTCAGTCCAGAGGAAGCATCTTCATCCCTGGGATGTTTGTGTGGATAAAGATAAGGCAGGAGACAGCCTGGAGGTCAGGAGGGACAGAGGAATTTGCTGCTCCAGCATGACCTGAGTGGAGCTGGCAGGGCCCACAAATCCACCTGGAGTGAGAGCCTGAGTCACTTGGGGCTCTTGGCTTGGCCAGATTTCAGCAGGGAATGGATGAGCACTGGATTCCTGACCTCACTCACTTCATTTTCCTGGAGACTGTTCTCAGTTATGGCACAACTGGCCCCCAAAATCTGCAGGGATCTTGGCTCTGGGAGGTTTCTTCCATCACCTCTCCCTCTGAGAGCTGCCCAGTGCTGTCCTGGCCCATCCAAGGGCATGAGGAGCCTGTTGGGGCTGAGTGTGGTGGCACTCACACATCAGAGTGGATTCACCACCATCCTCCAGGAGCCTCCTCTGGCACTTCCCTTTGCCATGTGCCTGCTCAGCCCTCTCAGGTCTCAGTTTTGTGGGTAATGGGCTGCTTGGTTCTGTTTTTCTCAGCAGCCTGGGTTGTAGAAGGGAGAAAAAATCTCCTGCACTGAGGGCCAGTCAATGGCTGGGTTGTGGAAAAAGAAAAAATCTCTCCTGCATGGTGCTGATGCCTTTCCAGAGCAGGGGACTCTGGCTGCTTGAGCCTGGCAGGCACTTGGCCCACAAAAACACAATTTAGCCACTGACCACTGAAACATCTCCTGGGCATCACAGCTCGGGCTTCAAAACAAAACCTGAGTGCAAATACTCCCAGTTTGTGGGTGAGACTGGTGTGGTATATTGGGAATAGCCATGGTCTGCAGCCCAAGTGTCCCCTCCCTGCCCCAGGAGAATAAACATGTGGGAAAAGAGATGTGGGGATAAATTGGGGATTTGTGTTGAGCTCTGCCCGTCTCTGTGTCTTGGTTTAAAAGACAGGTGTCTGCCAAGAAAGGCAGAAGCCTGTCTTTGAAATGGAGAATGTAAACCCCCTTTCTCCAAATTATTATATTTTTGAAATTAAGGGGCCCTCAGGTAAAGAGATGGGAATAGGAATAACAGTTTTTTACTAGGAAAATTAAAATAGAAATACAGTATTGCAGAGAACAAACCCAAAACACTGACAGAGTGAGAATCCAACCTGACCCCCTGTCAGTCAGTCAGGGCTTGGTGCAGTCCCATTCCATGGTGGCTGCAATCCTGCAGTGACAGATGTGGTTCTGCTGGAGCAGGGCTCCTGCACAAGGTGCAGTTTTCCTCCAAAGCTGCAGGGATGATGTGCAAGGCTCTGGTTTTCCTCTGGGATCCAGTGGGAAAAGGCTGCTCTGCTGTTCCAAATCTCCCCTTTGATCTGGGTAGGAAATGCTCGGCTCCTGCCCTGGCTGGAGCATCTCCCAATGGGATGATGGAATTTGATCAGCCCTGCCCTGGGACTGCATGGCCATGAACAGGAGAGATCTCCTGGAGGGAGGATGGGCTGTGGGCAAGATAAAGAACATTGTCTCACCTGATTTTTAACAGCTGGAACATTAACAGGAGATAATCTCCCCCAGAGATGAGGATCACTGCCCCAGCTGGTTTAACAGATGGTGACAGAATACAAACCTTTAGTCTCATCCTGTATTGGAACCTAAGACAATGATGGAATTTTATCAGCCATGGCCTGGGACTCAGTGGCCCAGGAACAGGAGAGATCTCCTGGGGGGAGGATGGGCTGTAGAAAAGATAAAGAGCTCTGTCCCAGCTGGGTTTATCAGATGACAGAACACAAACCTTTGGTCACATCCTGTCCTGCACCCTGACACACTCTGCCCCCACAGTGGTGTACGAGCACCGGTCCCGGCTGGAGCGATCCCTGCAGAAGGAGCGAGGGGAGCACAAGAAGACAAAGGAAGGTGAGTCCCCAAACAAAGCCCCAGCTGTCCCCAAAGCCTCTCCTGCCTCGGTGTGGCTGTCCCTGGGTGAATCTGGGAGCAGTGAAGTGATGTGCTGGCAGGTGGGTTCTGTTCTCTCCTCCTCCTCCTCCTCCTCCATTTGTCCTCAGGCCAATCTGTGAGCAGCAGTCTCCCTGTCGTGGTGTTTGAACATTTAAGTGGTGACTAAACCTGGCACTGGACCATGATTTTTTTATTTTTTTTTTGAAAGATGTCAGTTTGTTCCCAAAAGTGAGGTGGAGATGCTGAGCTCTACAAGTGCTCAGTGCAGAGTGTGCAGCCCTGTGGAGCTGAGGCACAGGAGGAGACACAAACAAACCTGCAGGGATTATTTAACACCATGGAACACAGCAGGAAGCAGAAAGCCAAGAGATCAACTCATCCTTTCAGCAGAGTGCAGTGCCAGGCCCCTCTGCACAGGATTGCTGTTGGCAATTTAATAAATTGGGTTTTATCTTTAAAAGTGGATTGGGGTGACATCCCTGCCCCTCACTCTGTGCCTCTGGGTCTGTATCCAGCATCCAGCTTTGGCTGCAGTTCTGGGGCTGCCTGGCTGGGGCAGAACTTTTATTTCTGTGCTGCCTCTTTAATTAATTTGTTGAGAAACTGAAGCATCCTAATACACGTTACATAGTGGTGGGACCTTCCTGTTTTAAGAAGCTGGCACAGATGTGATCAGCACATGAGTCTGAGTCTCACAGAAGCTTTGGTTCCCCTTTTCCAGACTCATCTCTCATTTCAGAGAACCCCAAAAAGTTCTTCAGCCTCCTGGGCACCAAGCTGCAGCTTTTTTTTTTTTTTTTTGTGGAGTAGGAGATCACCAATGCACTTGGCTGTGGAACGGGAAAGCAAGGGCATTTTTTTTGGGTGGACAACTCTGATGGAAAATACTCCCACCTTCCCAAGGGCATGGAATGGTGTCCCAGCAGCATCTGCATTCCAGCTTATTGACTTGCAGCCTTTTGCTCAGCGAGGGGCTGAGTTCCTCCTTCCCTCCCCCTCCCCTCCAAAATCCAAACCAGATCCTCGTGAAATCCCAGCTCATTAAACTCTCTCTTTTTCTCCCGTTTCTAGATTTTTTAGTGTACAAGTTAGAAGCTCAGGAAGCTCTCAACAAGGAGAAGGTAGGTGTGGTTTGTCCCAGGGTGTGTCTGAAGCAATGGGAAATATTTTTTTTTTTTTTTTCTGGTGCCACCAGGGCTGTGAGGCCACTGGAAGGCAGGGAAGGCTCCGTGTGTGCGTGGTGCAGGCTGAACTTTGGCTGACTCCTCTGCTCAAGGAGTGTGTGAGGATTTTCTCCTTCTCAGGGAAAAAGGCTGGAGCTGTTCTCCCTGTTCTCCCACGTGTGACAGCCAAGGAGATCATTCCCAGCTCCTGGGAATTGTCATTTCCATGGGACAGGAGAGGCTGAATGCAAAGCTCACCGCGGGGAAGAAGGGCCGTGGTTAAATATGGATATAAAAATATCCATTGTTTTCTGCCTCCAGGAATTGGCAGATGATTTTTACCAGCCTGTGGATCCCCACTCAGCAGGGAAAAGGATTCTTCAGTGAGGGCTGGGAAGAAATGCATCCCTGGGATACAGTCTGTCACATTCACTCATTTCCACGCTGGCTTTGTTCCTTTCCCAGAGCATCTGTGGATGAGAAGCTGGAGAAGGGGAATCACTTTTAGGCTGCTCCTCCTTGGGTGAATGTCAGCCTGTGGCAGAAAAATATTTGAGTTGTTTTTTTTTTTAATGATGGGCAACTCCTTTGCAATTTGGGGATATTTCAGACTATACTGAGTATTTATTGAGTATTTTTCATGTTAAAATGGGGGCTGGGAGTGGCAGTCTGTGCACGGTGCTTCATTTGCACTTCACGATTCTGCTTCCCTTTGCTCTGAAGTGCCCAGACCCAGATCCCAGCTGATGTTTTTTGTGAACTTGCCTGGACTGGGACTGTCCCCTGTCAGGTGCCACTGCCACCCTGGGGACAGAGCCTTGGGGCACAGGGGGTGGGGACTCCACAGCTGCTGTGCTGGGGTGAGCAGTGGCACCTTGGGGACACAGGGGAGGGAGGGGACACCTGGGGAGCTGTGAGCCCTGTGATGCACCCACAAAAAGAGGGAGACACACACACACCTGACTCCAGGCTGGAAGAACAGGAAAAAAGATTTTTATTTACATGACATGTCTATTTATAGACACCTGACAATGATCGTGGATTGGGCAATGCTGGAAGAATCTCTGACTACAATTGGCTTCTTCCAGTGTCCATCCACTCTTTCTTCCTCCAAGAGGAATGCAAACAATCTTCTGTTTATCAGAAGAGAGTGTGAGAACTCTTAAAGAAATATGTGAACACCAGAATATCAGAAAGCAAAAATAATCCTGGAGCAGCAGGGAGTGGCACAGACCCCTGTGCAGGGCTGAATCCCCCTCCTCTGCTGCTTTGTTCCAGCTGAGCTCACTTTGGCTGCTGTGCCTGCTCACAGAGCTTGCCTGAGGTTCACTCCATTGCCTAGTGATCCTTTTTTAAGTTTTTTTTTTTTGGTGGAAAAGCTGCAATTTCTGTGTGTGGGCGACAGCCTGAGCTCTGCTGCTTTCTGTGCCTCCCCCTCAGCTCTGCCAGGAGAGCTCAGCCTTGAGGAAAGGGGTTCACAGTGCAAAGCTCCTTCAGCACCAAGCCTGGATAAAGGGCTGAAGGATGGGGAAAACCACTCAAAATGGGAATTAAACATGCAATTAATAAGTTGCTTTGAAAAGGGTCTTTCTTTGAAAAAGTTCTTTGAAAAAGTTCTTTGAAAAAAGTTCTTTTCCTGCCCTGCATGTTCTGCTGGTCCCCACGCTGGGCTGGTCCCAGTCCCTGTCTCAGGTGTGGATTTGGGCAGGTGATTTTCTGTGTTTTTTCTCCCTCTCTCAGATTTTTCTGGCCTCTAATGGCACTGTTGGGTCTTTTTTTTTTCTCCCCAGCAAGACTCCATGAACAGATATGGGGCCCTCAGTTCCCAGCACAAGATCCTGAAGGTAAGGGAGCTTTGGCTGCTGTGTTTTAAGGGATGGAGAATCCCAGGATTCCTGCAGGGAGGAGATCCCTGGGACCCAAATTCCTGCCTGACTGCTCAGGTCCAGGGGAGTTCCCTGTTTATTCTGTATCGGGTTACAGCTCTCACCTACACCTCGTGTCAATGGCAGCCTTTGTGCACTTTTTTTTTTTTTTTTTTNCACTTTTTTTTTTTTTTTTTTCTGTTTTTCTGGGTCTCTCGCTGTGAAAATGGGTTTATTCATTGGAGTTCATCCTTTGAGCTCGTACAAAATATTCCAGTCCATGGAAAAGGCTCAGAGCAAGGCAGCTTATAGCATTTTATAGCATTTTATAGAGTTTTATAGCATTTTATAGCCTATCACCTGCTCTACCTGAAGCATATCTTGATGCTCAATTTTGCTTTTGTTGGAGCAGTGCAACTGGAAACTGCTGGGGTGGATTTTTAAGACATTTTTAGTCTAAACCTTGGCAGTGAAATGCTGATTTAACTCTGGGATGGACAAAGAGGGCTGGGTTCCAGCAGCCCTTAGCACCACTGAGCTGGATTTCCTGAGCTGAGCTGCACTTCCAGCTGCCTGGATTTGGGTTTTGGATTCCAGCTTGGGGAAAAGGGAAGTACAGTTCTGTCTCTTGGGTATTCTCCAGCTCTGTGGATTCTGGGAACTCTCTGCAACAGCAACATTCCTCTTCATAGCAACTGCAGGCTGAGCAGAATTCTCTGCTCTGTTTCTCTCAAGGGGACACTCTGAGCTTTTTTTTTTCTCCTGGCTCCCTTTCTCTTGCTTCCTTTTATTGGAGGAGTGGGAAAAAAAAAAAAAACAAACCAACCCCAACCATCTATTTTTTTTTTTTTTTTAAACTACATTTACAGCTGCTGAAAGACAAAAGCAGCCCTTGGGACTGGGAGATTTCAAACCCCCCCCTCGGCCTGAAAAAGCAATTTTTAGTCCATTAGAGGCTGTGGGTAACACTTCTGTCACTGGAGCCCAGGGAAAAAAATGTTTCCCAGTGGACCTGGCTTGCTGAGGAGGAAGATTGTGCCAGGAATGTCATCACCTGGGAAATGGAATGGGTGATGCTGGACAGAAGGGGCTGAGCTGGAGGTCCCAAATGTCACCAAAGAAATGTCACCAAAGAAATGTCACCATGAAGCCACACCAGCACATCTGGCTCTGGTGTTCCCGGCCCTGCTCTGTGCTGGTGCTCCCTGGATGGCTGAGTCACATCTGGAGCTGGCACAGATGTGAATCTCAGAGGGGTGAGGGGCTTGACTTTGCCCCAAACCAGCAGCTGCAGTCGTGTCCCGTGTCTGGGATCCTGCTGGGGCCAGGCTTGGTCTCACAAAATCCTTTTTCCTCCCTCTGCAGGGTCCCTGGCACTCCCTGCAGCAGCCCAGGAATTCTGACATGCATTTCCTGAGGCTGCTGGAACATGAAAAATGAGATGTGGCTTTCCCGTGCCTGTGGGTTAAACACCCAGGTTATTGGTTCCACTTTGTCCAGTTCTGTGCACAAAATTGCTCTGAAATCAGGGCAGGAACAGCTGGGTTTGAGGTGCTGGTATTGCCTTTTCACCTTCACCTGATCGTTTCTGCCTTGGAGAGAGAGGTCTGGGACATCCTGGCCACTCCCTGTGGTTTGAGCACTTGCTGCTCTGAGAGGAGGAAATCCTGATTTTTGGGAGATGAGCTGGCTGGGGAATGATTTGATTTCCACAGATTGCAGTGTGAGGGACCCAGCAATGCCAAGGCAAAGTGTCTCACCCCTCAGCCCAGCTGCACCAAACATCCCTTACACAACATCCACGTGCTGCATCCTGCAGGTGCTGCTTGGCTGAGTGAAACAGCAGGGCTGGGAGCTGGAGAAGGTGGAGGAGGTGGAG